AAAAAAAAAAAAAAAAAAAAGGATTTCCAAACAGTCAAAATTAGCTATGCATCTTATGGGTGCTTTTGGATGATCTCCTTATCACGTATTTTCTTATTAAACGTAAACTTGGCTCTACAAACTCAGCAGGAAAAAAGCACTAAATACCGTTTTAGTCAACTACAGCAAAACACAATTATTTTCTAGTAAGACTCAGGACAAAACTGACCACAACCTCGAACCTACAATTTCTCCCCACATCCCCACTTGACTACACCAGCTGATTTAGACACTTCCAAAGCAAAGGCTGGAGCTGATTTTAAACAAATAATGGACTGGCAATGGTATCCTTTCTTCTTTTTAACTTCGTTATTATGTGGGGAAAAAAATGTCAAAAAGCAAAAGGGGAAGGAATAAAAACTGGTTCACGTTCCACATTGTTTCAAAGTGACTTAAAAGGATTTGTTTACTCTTTTGGCCAAAACTGGAGAAGAGAGAGGATGATAAACTGTAAATTTCTAATATTCGATTTAGGCCTCAGTAACTTTTTTTAATGAAAGAACAAATCTGCCCACGATAAGGGTGGGAGGGTAGCCCTAGGTGGGATCGGCAGGCGGGGTCTTAGGAGGGCCTGGGCCAGCCCAGCCGCCGGCGCCCCCGCTGCGGCCTGGTGCGGCCCGTGGGCCCGGCGTCCCAGGCGGCGGAACTCTGCCTCGGCGGCGCCTGGGGACTCGTTTCGCGGGGAGATCAGGCCGAAAAACGCGGCCAGGCTCCCGAGGGCTCCACCCTCCCCTCTTTCACTCCCTCCCCTTGGCGGTCCCCAGAGGGATACAGGCGGGGCGCATCGCTCAGAGACAAGTTGGGGGGGGGAGGTTGAGTCCTCAGCGAGAAAAGCTCCGACGCCCAGAGTGGCGGCCGTGGGTTATTAATAAACTCCGCTTCTGCCCAGGCGCCGCTACCGCGGCCGGCCCGTAAAATCGGCAAGGCCTGCAGCGAACGCTAAGCAGTGGGAGCCGGAGCCCGGGCCCAAGCGGGCCCGCGCCGCCGCGCTGAGGGCGGCGGCCTGGCGGAGAATAATGCACACTGGGTAAAAACACATTTATATACGAACCTCCGAGAAAATTTTCCAACAATTCCTTCGTCCGACCACCATGCACCAGGACAGGAAACAGCCGTCCGGCCCCCAGGCCCAGCAACCCGCATAGTCTATCTGAGGCCCGCCCCCAGCTTCCATTGGGCTGTAATTACATCACTCAAGGGAGGCTTCCGGCTTTCCATTGGCCCAAGTTTCGTCAACGTGAAAGAAAACCGCCCTAGCGGCGCCCCCTCATCTGACGTCAGCCAAGCCTGGCTTTACAGCCCGCCCCTCAGTGGCTCGCGCAAAGGGCAGAATCAAAGCTCCTGTGTTTGACTGGTTGACAAAACTGCTCATCCCAGACCGACACCGCCTCACTGACAAATGAGTTATACCGATTCTGGGGCCCCAGCGGGAGGCGCCATTTTGTAGCGAGGGAGGGAGGCTGGTCCTTGTGATTACCCGGGAGGGAGAAAGGGTGACGGGCGCCATCTTCCCCATAGGGGCGAGGAGGCGGCCTTGATTCTCCTGATGGGCTTGCTGGAGTGCGTTCTGCAGACCAGAAGGCCTTTGCGTAGCGATTCTTGAATGCTGATTAGCAGCCCTTTGGGAGGGAAGTCGAAGGGAGGAATAGGACAGAATGAGAGACTTGACCTCTCCCTGGAGGCTCTGAGTGCTGGCCGAGGCCCTTGGTCTTGGGCTAGGGCTCTGCATTACCCAGAGCTGCTGTATGCTGGTGATTGGCTTCCAAGCTTGTCTGAGCTTCTCCAGTCGCCGGGGCGTCGCCATGCGGTGGGAGGGTGAGCCTTCCTCTCCTACTGAAACTCCAGCGGCTTGGCATCCGGCCGGGGGTCTTTGATTCCGCTGGGAGACACCACGGATGCTTTTGTGCTTTAACGTAGTTTCGGTTCAAAATTTGAAGCCGTCAGAAATGGTGTCGCTATGGTCTTTTGTATGTTCTTGTGTCGCGAACTAAAGGAAGGTCAAAAGGGTGGAAAAGCATTCAGTCTGGTTCCCTAAAGTTAGTAAGAATGGCTACAAATTAGTTGTGGCCGTTGCTTGTAGCCCTCAATCCAGCCCTTTCTAAACCTTTGGGTATACTACTCAGTTCGGAAGGTACTCAGTACAAATTTGCTTTGGCCAGTAGGCCGAGCAAAGATTACGTAGGGTGTATTAGACTCACATCTTAAGTCGGCCAGGCCAGGGGTAGAAATGAGTTACCGAGAGAATGAGGGGCTACCCCATTATGACAGATTTGGATCCTGCTTAGAAAAACGAGAGAGCTGGATGGTGTTCAGCTTAATGTCTTGCATTTCATACAGTTATCAAATGGACGGGGATAAATAAAAAAGATGTTAAAGATAGCCCTCGGGCCGGGCGTGGTGGCTCAAACCTGTAATCCCAGCACTTTGGGAGGCCGAGGCGGGTGGATCACGAGGTCAAGAGATCGAGACCATCCTGGTCAACA